TTAACATTAATTATTACTAATATATTTTAATATATTAATAAATATATTCTAATAATTAAACTTAACATTAAATTTGATTGTGTTTAATAGCCTGGATGATCTGAGGTTGTATTAACCGTTTGTTCCCTAAGGTGGTTGAAGCCCAGGGAACCAGGTCCTGCTAAATGAGACCAGTCTGGGCTTGGGAGGGGTTGGAGGAGAGGGGAGGAGTCAGTAGGCAAAGAACCACTGTCAAGCCCCGCCCCTCATTCAGCCACGCCCCCAGCTCGGAGCTAAATAGCCTGATTCCTCAGCCTGGACACCATCTTCCCCCAGTGTTGAACTTGCTTTGCTTCACCGTTGATTTGAAATCTTTCAAAATTCCTTCCTACCAAGCCGCACTCCCTTCCCTTGGCCCATTACTGAGGTTGCAAGCAGCGCCCTGGACGCAGCGCATTCATTTTCATCACGCTGCCATCGAAACCTTCAGGGTCTACCTTCCCAGCCTGGACCCATTCTTCTGAGGCTCTTCAACAGTGAGTATAGTTTTTTGTTTTGTTTTGTTTTGTTTTTTGTTTTTTACTGTGGATTTTAATTTTTTGAATCAGGCCAGAGCACTTTGGAGTGAATTTTCGTGGATAATAAAATAGGAATATTATTTGAATCTAAAATAAAAGGCACTAAAAGGTAACAAGATATTTTTTTCTCACTCTGGAAGTATTCCAAAAGAGGGCCCCTTCTGTCTGGGGTAATGACAGTATCATTGCAACAGGCTAAACAAAGTGATGGCTTTGCATGACAGCTTTGATGATACATGAGTTCTAGCATTTTTTTTAACGGGCTTCATACTTTATCCTGTTACCACAGACATGCATGTATCGGTGTAATCTTACACATGGCAATGAATTTCATAGCCCAACAATTACTCACTTCCAGGTGGAAGAGCTGCAGGCAGTCACCCAGTCCCCAGGATCAGTTTGCTGTACTATGGCATGCTGGTGACATCCATCACCCACCTGAGCTTCCAAATGATGGACTTGTCCTACAGGGTTGAATGGTGAAAAAGAACAAAAATATGCCCTTTTAATGATAAGACAGTTTCAGTTGTCTCAAGCTATTCTGGTCCATAATATGCATGCTTAACATTATAGAATTTTCTTTAATTGACTTTTGCCCTCAAGTACAGGAATATCTCGGAGATATTATGGGTTCAGTGCCAGAGACCACGCAATAGAGTGAGTCACATGAGTGTTGTGGTTGCCCAGTGCATACAAAAGTTAAGTTTACACTGTGTTGTAGTCTATTAAGTGTGCATTATGTCTTAAAAATCAATGTACGTATCTTAATTTAAAAATACTTTATTGTTAAAAGATGCTAACTGTCATCTGAGCCTTCCACGAGTAGTTATCTTTTTGCAATAGTAGCATCAAAGATCACTGATCACAGGTCACCATAACAGATATAATGAGAGTGAAAAATTGTGAAATATTGCAAGAATTATCAAAATGTGACACAGAGAAACAAAGTGAGCAACTGCTGTTGGGAAAATGGCACTGATAGCCCTGCTGGATGCAGCGTTGCCACAACCTTCAGTCTGCAAACAATGCAGTATCAGAGAAGCGCGATAAAACAAGGTCTGCCTGTACAGAGAACTTGCTACATCAGTATGAAGAGCCAACTTTAGCCCCTCTCTCTAGGGAGGGCTTATTTGGCAGCCTGAGGGGTATAGTTTAGCTGTATCTTCCAGGGTGGATGGTAAGTTTCCTGAGGGCAGGAATGGGTGTCTGTATTCTCAGCACCCTGCACAGAGCCTGAGCAGCGACAAGGGCTCAACGATTCGTTGAATGAGATAATGAAACAGTGACTTAAAAGACAGATTATATTCTGGAATGGGTCAGGTATTGTTATTCCTGTCCTAAGTGTACTTCCCAAATGCTTCTTGCCTTCTGAGGTTCTGATTCTGTGATTCATTAAGGTCTCTGAAGAGAAATCCTAGCATAGCTACCTAAAATGAAATAACCATTAACAGGGAGAAAAATGGAAAATTCTTTTCCATTTGTCATTCATTAAGATATATGGTAAATTACATGATGGAGTCACGTGTAATTCATCACTCCATCTGATTTTAGAAGCACGAGGAAGAATTATCTTGTGCTACATATAGAGATCATATTTTATTTGCATTCCGTAGACTGGCAAAATCCAACATGAATATATTATATTCAAGGACACAATTTCTGTAATCATGCCACTTGAGGAGCAGTTTAAAATAGCAAATAGAATCAAACTGGAGCACTCAGCATCCTTAGCAAATGAGAATCACATACAAAAACCCGCTTTCTTCTTTTCAACTTCAGCTGCGGGGACCAGAAATAAATGGCTCCATCTTCTCTGATCATGATTAAGGTGTCATCAGTCACGGAGAGAATGCCCAGCACGGGACCCCCATATGACAGCCCCTGCAGCACAGCAGGCAGCTGGAAGGAAACCTCTTTCTGTCGAGCCAAAGCATCAGCTTGCTCAGAATACACGAGCTGCAGATATGTGCAGAAGCCGTCCTGGAGAATCAAAGAAAATTCATTAAACCTCTCCTGTCTTTCTGGCTTTCAGAAATTCTCTTTATCATCCAGGCATGACTATCCTTTCTTGGACATGACATAATTATCAGTACGACCTAGTTCACTGGTATGGACTTGGCTGCCAAGAACTCGGGGCTGATAACTGAGTTGTGCCTGATGGGCCGCTACCCAGTGTCTGGGCTCCCTTCCAGGCCCAATCCCTTCCTCTAAGGGTGACAATGGTGGTGGTGGTTGAGCATAGACCCTGTTCCAGGCCACGTGGACCTTCACCTCCATCCTGGAGATAACTGGATGAGATAGGTAATTGTTCTCTTCATTTTACAAATTGGGAAACTCAAGTCTAGAAAGGTTACATAGTCTTAAACAACTGGCAAGTGGCTGGCCTGAGACTTGAGCCCCCGTTGGTCTGTTGGTCCTACCCACCAGGATGGATGCCTCATTTCGAATCTCAGCAGTGTACGCAGGGAAAGCAGGCCTGTGGTGGGAGGGCAGGGGTGGGGGTGCCCACGGGGCCTGGGAACGCCTCCATTTTCTCTCCACTTCCCCCAAAGCCCTACTTCACTCGTCTCCCCTTCCCTTCCCTGGAGTCCTGACTTCTTCTTTTCAAATCAGATGACAGGGAAAACACTTGCATTTGATTTGGTTGGGGAGCTGCTCTGAGGTCTGAATAGAGGTGTCCCACCACTCAGCTTGTCACTTTAGAGCTTAATTCATCCTAGAACAGCAGAAGGATACTGACACACAATGGCAGAGAATTTTAAAAGCAGTTGCCTCAGCTCCTCTTTATTATACACCCTGTATTGGGATACATTGATAGTGATGATGATAATAATATTTGTTGAGAAATTACTATGTGGCTGTTCTAAACACGTTAGATGCGTCAATGAGCTCATTAGCATCGGGTGGCGCTTGCACCCAGGATTTCTTGCTCACTGCTGTTTCACGTTTGCTTTTGGGCAAAGTGGCAGGTGTATCTTCATTCCCTGGCTAGGAAAGCCTTCTTGCAACTTGCCTTAGCTACTGAAATTCCTAGTTAAACTCTTCCAAGTATAACCTGACATTACAGGAACTTTTAAATTGTAAACATGCATGTCCCCTTGGTTCAACTTCCACTTGGCAAAGGCACTGAGGGGCACAGGGAACAACAGAAAGGCTCAGAAGCAAACATTTCATACGTTTCCCTTACGAACTTCAAGTCTGAGTTACCTAACACCACCCAACTTACCCACTGACTTCTGACCACTGCTTCATAGTCTATTTTCATGAAAAGTTGTTCTATTTGTTCAATATTCTGGAGAGGGAAAACATTAATCTGTTTTATAGAGTAAATTATTCACTGGATTGGCGGGTAAAGGGATACAGGAGGAAGGGGACAGCTTTGCTTTTCCAGTTGATGAATATCATATTCAAAAATGCATAATGCTTAAAGCTCTCTGGAATGTTTGCTTCAGAACACTAATAGGACTATTAATCTGAACTCAGTGCACTGACACGAAAACTCTTCCCCAGTGAGAGACTGGGCTCCTAGAAGTTCTATTTTTGAAATCAGGCCCTAATTAGTAAGAGGAGCTGTGTGTCTCCCAAGCTTGCGCTCCCAGGAGGTCCCACTCCACCCTGGTCAGTTCCAGCCAGAGAACTGACCTGTCTTTAGGGGCCCCAGTTGGAGATAAACAGCAAAGCAGGTTCTGAGGACAATGGCTCGGATCGTGAGGGAGTTACTCACTTGGGCATAGCCAAGACAAAAAGATGTGCAAGTCACGAAAATTATGTTCAAGTGTTACAAGGATCATTGTGTGGGAAAGAGAGCAGATTTCCTCTGTGTGGCCATAGCAGGCAAGCTAGAAGATGGATCCCCATTGTCCCTGCCTCTTGGTGTTCATGGCTGATGAAATACCATCCCCTTGAGTAACTTGCCTGGGACCAGTGGGCCTCAGCGCCTCAACACTGAAGTGATGTCACTTCTGTGATTAGATTACATGAGATCGTAACTTCTGTCTTCCTGGTGGGTGCTCTCTCCCTTGCTGGCTTTGAGGAAGCCAGCTATTATGGTGTGAGCTACCCACGTGGAAGGGAACTGAGGGCAGCCTCTGGCCAACAGCCAGTGAGGAACGGAGGCCTTAGTCTAACAACCTGCAAGAAACTGAATCTGGCAACAACCTCGTGTCCTTGGAAGTGCATCATTCCCCAGTCAAGCTTTCGGATGAGATCCAAGCATAGCTACCACCTTGATGCAGCCTCACAAGACACCCTGAAGCACAGAATCCAGCTAAGCCATGACCGGATTCCTAACTTACAAAAACTGTGAGATAATATACAGGTAGTTTTAAGCTACTAAATTTGTGATAATTTGTTCTGGTGCAATGGCTGACTCATACAGTGGTTCATAAAATCAGAAGTTGGGCTAAAGAGTAGAATGCCAAGAAAGACCAATTTCAGCTCAGAAAGGGAAAAAACACTTTTAAAATTTAAGGTCACATCTCTCCAGCCTTGAAATAGCTAACCTATAGGGTCTGAGTTTCCTTTAGCTGAAAGTATCCAAGCATATGCTGGCTCCTGGCTTAGCAGAGAAGAGAATTCGTGCATTGAAGAGTTTACATACTAAGTGACCTCTAAGATTCTTTCAAACCCTTGGATTCCATAATTGCAGCTTCAGGAGAGATGGTCAGGTTTTATGTCTATTTTGGGGAGCGTGAGATGTTGGCTTTCCTCTTGTAAGTCTCAGGGGTGTATGCCTTTGCTCGGTAAAGACACCAAAATGGAGGAAATAAGATGATGCCTGATCTCCAAGACATGGGCATTGCTCCCTGGTGAGCTGATACCCCGTGCCAGGGTAGGGTCCTGTGAACAGGCCCTGGCTGTGAGACTAAGCTCAGCCCCAGCTTCCTCTAAGTCACGTTCCAAAGGAGACATCGCACATTCCTGGGTATGGCTGCCAGCACAGACATCACCATGGCAACTAGACAATACCACACACATAACTGGTAACAAATATTTTTGGAATGAAAGTCCCAACAAACCAAAACACCCAGAGGGACGGCTTCCAGAGAGCCTGGGATCAGAGATGGAACAGGAAACACAGAAAGCTCAGGATGAGGGAAACCACTGCCGAGGCTCGGGCTGCTCACCTGGACCACCCCTGTCACCACAGGGCGGAGCCTGGGAGAGGTGTGGGTCTGCCTGGATGCCTGGAGCTCCAGACCAGATGGCATCAGGCAAGGGCCGTGCAGCGCTGTGAGCCACTGTGGGAGTGGGCCCTCGGGCGGTGCACAGGCCACCACACGGCCTTGCTCTGGCCTTGCAGCACTGTGGCTTTGCCCAGAGAGACCCAGCTTCCTCCATCAGCCCAGAGCTGTGGGGAGCCTGTGTCTGCATGAACAGCCTCTGCCCCGGTGGGGAACTACCTTCTCAGTATGATTACGTGAGATGCTGAAGGACACTGGACTACTTCCTCCTCACATTGACTCACGTACTGAAGAAAAACAGAGTGAGCATCAACGGTTCGCCAAGCCCTGTGCCAGATGCCGAGGCTTCAGCCCCGAAAGACGCGTTACTTGCCCTCGCAGTAGTCACTGTCTCTGGGGTCGCAGCAAGCCAGCAATGCAATGCCAAAGATCAGTTCTGTGCTACAGGTAACTGCAGACCACCACCAGCTTAAAAAGAGGAGCATCTACTTATTTCTAGGGAAGTTAGAATAGATTCCTTTGAGTCTATGATGACTGCACTGCCTTAAAGTCATTCGTTCTCCCAATAACATTTATTGGGTACCTGTATGTGCCAGGCATGGCTCTAAATTCTCGAAATATGACGAAAAATCAGAATCCAGAGAGAATTATTGCTCAGGTGAAAAATGGAAAGAGAACATTCTAGGCAAGGGAACAACAGCACATGGAAGCCATGGAAATAGGAAAATAGAGCATCACCTTCTCTGCTCCCCAAGGAAACCACAGGGCTTGTGGTGAGACCCCCATTCCTCAATGCCACCCATGTCTGAAATACTCAGCCTACACATTGTGCTCCTGACAACTCAGCCCAAGGTTCATCTCTTCCAGGAGAACTTCCTGGCTCCCTGGTCTGGTTTAGATGCTCCCATAGCACCTGGGCTGAAAGCTAAGCCAGCCCTGACCTCCCCGAGGGCAGAGATCACATCGTGATTGACTTTTTGGGCCACAAGTAAATATTTATTGAATGAATGGATGAGTGAGTGAGTGAATGAATGAGAGGATAAGAGAATGAGTAGACGACTGACTAGGCTAAAAATGTAGGTAATTAGACTGCTTGGTTAAAAAGATCTGGGATATTGTTAAAACACCTAATAATTTATCCATTGAAATCACTCCTCTCTCTGCCCAATAGAAGTTTTGTTTGTTCGTTTAATATTATGCATATGGAGCAGATATTTTTAAAAAAGAAGTGCTATTTAATGGTCACATCTGCATAGTGGATGAGACTCTAAACACCTAAACTTCCATGGCAACCATCGAACCCGAGGGCTTTGTAACTGAGAGGGGGCAGCTGGGACCTCAGCAGCCTGCAGTTTGACAGTGGTGGGCTTTTGTTCAAACTCGAGGGACAAGATTGTCGAGATTTCCCGTGAGTGTTTTTTTGTAATTTAAGATATAATCATGACACTTTAACAAGTGGAGCTTAAACAGCCTCTCCTGTTCTAATGTGTTCTTTATCTTACGAATACAGCCTCATTCATTGCTATGGTTTGGATGTTGGTGTACCCCCAAATGCATATGTTGAAACCCTAATGCCCAATGTGATGGTATTAGGAAGTGAGACATTTGGGAGGTGCTTAGGGCACGAGCATGGAGCCCTCAAGAACAGGATCAGTGATCTTATGAAAGAGATCCTTCTGTCCTGGGAGCATCCAACAAGAAGTCTGCACCCTGACCTCAGTTCTAGGCTCTGGAACTGTGAGAAACAAGTGCTTGCTATCTAGCCACTTATTTTATGGGTTTTTGTACGGCAGCCTGAATGGACTAAGATATTCCATAAGATTCATATTCTGGGCTAAAAAAATGGCTAACCAAGATGGCAGAGAGAATATTTAAAATACTTAATTCCAGCAGTGTAGGGATGGGAGAAGTTCCCAAATTCTTCGGAAACAACCAGTGATCTAATAAAAGCTTTTTTCTCTTTTTACAGAAAAGTCTCTAAATATCTTGCTGGTCTAATGTACTGAGTAATTTAAAAGTATTTTCCCATAGAAGCTGTTCAGTCTGGGTCTCGGCAGAAATCACAGTTCAGAGCTGAGCGTGATCATGCAGATAGCTCACCAGGCCTAGCTGGCCCCCAGGGTTAACGTCTTAACTGTGGCCGCAATGCTCCAACATTTATAAAACCCACTTACTCTCTTCTGTGACCTCATGCTCTGCTTCATTATGCATTTGAAAGTTTCCATATCCAGCAGCTGTCTTCCTCTCTTCTCATACTCCTAGGAGGGAAAAAGAATCATTAGCTATGAACACAGTTGCATTCTGTTTAGTCTGGGAGCAAGAATCTCAAGAACTGAATGTCTAATTGGACTTACCTGAACTCTGTCAACTTCTAACACGTTACCCCTTTGTTCGTTTCTCTGATGCTTTCACAATTTGTTTCCAAATCCATTAAGAAGTGACAATTACAGAGAATTTACTCTTCATTGCTATTTTATAGGAGTTAAAGGATTGTACTTTCACTGAAAAATCAGCCATCAAAAAGAGAATCAAATTACCCAGATGATTAATTAGAAAGCTCACCTGCTCGATTCCTACCTGAAAGAGCGCATTTAAGCATTGTAGCTCTTCAAGGGTCACTTGATGTTCGATCTTACCAAAGCAAAAAGAAAATAAATTAAAAACATACAATGCTAACAGTAATGCCCATAAAATGCAATTTCTGGAAACCCATAATTCCTCTCTTTATGAGATTGGGATAGCTGAGACTCGAAGTAACGCTTAGAATATGCCAACCCTCATTTTCTTGGTCTCTCATTTTCTTAATCTCTCCTCCAATTCATCTGATTCCTCAGCCCCAAATTCTGGGGTAGGCTGGGCTCAACTGGGCTGAAAGGAAGGAAGAGGTGGCAAGGTAGTGGGAGGAGGGGAGACGACAGATTCAGGAGAGAAAAGATCAGGGTCTGGACGGATAGGAGAGAAGGGAGACTGAAAATACTTTGCCAGATCAGATTCCAAAGATGCTCTCTCTGCCAGGAGGCCAGTGCATGAGAATTGCCTTTGGCCACACCCTCTGCTCTCCACTCCTTCTCACCCCAGGCTGAACCAGGAGGAGGTCTTGGCAGGACTGATCCGCAGCCCTTTTTTCTGGGGTAGTTTTCTGAAGCCATGACTAGAAGTTCTTGCTACTCTTGGTGTTAGGGAAACTGGTTACCTTATAGTCACCTGTCCTTCACTCAATAAACAGATCACCAGGGGACGCCTCGTGCTCACCTCCAGTCTCTTAGCTTCTATCTCAACAGTTCGGCTTTTATAAATGAAAATCCTTAAACTTCCAGCTTGAATGAATGAATAAACTGTCACCGGTAGGTAGAGTCAAGTTAAGTGCTCCACCGTCTCGTGAGGCCTAAGGAAGACAGCAAAGGAGGAAACTGGCTATTTCCCCAACGGGCTCATCTTCTGAAATTTCTGTGACCACCGCTAAGCTTCCAAGGTAGTGGCTTTTACCATAAAACTGAAACTGATACCAAAGCTCTTGGGAGATCCACTATTTTGTAAAAGTTGATGCACATTTCAAATTGTCTGAAGTGACTGAATGATTCTTTTTTAACTTGCTTTCACTGAGGGAGAAAATTAGAAACCTGGCTCTAGAATGGGAAAGCACTCCAGCTGAAGTTTCCGCTTAAACTTTTCCCGTAGGGCTCCTCTGGCAAGACCTGAACCCGGGAGGTAATGTGCAGAGAGCTGATTGGGAAAAAGACCCCAACAGTATTCATGTGTGTCTGACAGGTGATTCCAGCAAATGGAAAAGCCAGTTTTCCTCCTCGATAATAGATATTTCTGCCGAATGAATTCAACATTTTCTTAGACTAAGCCTTCTCCAGCATCCAAACAAGCAGACGAGAGTACACCAGGTGCACACATGACACGTGTGAGAAAAGTGGACTCAAATCGGAGGCCTGACGAGATGATGGGGCCGCTAAGGGCATGTGACTTATCCTCCATCCTAGATGTGGCTCCCAGAGGGTGAAACAATTTGTTAAGAATTTGAAAATTATTCCCTTTAAGACTGGAATTTTATGAGAAAGACATGGTATTATTTCAACTTTTCCTACTGTATTTTTCTGAGCCTTTACAATTCTAAATATACAATATAAATACTCTGTGAGTCTGAAAGTTACATAAGACTTTTATATTCCTAAACTAACAAAGTGGTGACTCTAGATTTGTACAAAGCAATCAAAACATATTGCCTATAATGTTATCCTTGCCACAAACTTCTATCTTTCCACTGTCCCCAAATATCTTTTTCTCTTAGCTTCAAAATTTCCTGAAACTCTATACAATGATTATTATTTGTCAACTAAGAACCTTCTTAAGTGAAATTGGCCTTTCACCTTCCTCCACCTCCTTTACTCATAAAAAACAAATAACAAACAAACCCAAAACTGCCTACCTCCCAGGAGGGGGCTCCCCAATCCAGAAAGAGACTAATTCCTCTTCATTCCATAAATGTACTAGAAATGCTTCGGAGAGAGTGAAGTGAAAGCCATTATTAAAAATAGTAACAAAGGGCATGGAATCAAAGCCAGTGATTATATAATTTATAGAGGGCTTTACAGCAATTTTCAGTTAAGCATAAAATGTGACCAAAAAGCCTCACTGTCTCCCTTCACAACTTCTCCCCAGAGCCATCCAACAAGCATCCTAAACACCCTGCCTCCTCCCTGCACTTGTAAGACACCTACAGCCTCCCGCGCCTTCAGGTTTCCTCTTTGTCTTCCTGGTCATTCTATTCCATCTTTGCCTCCTGGCTGTAGATACACATCCCCTTCTCCTATTGAACACAAAAATAAGGAAGTGGATGAAAGATAACCACAAAAGATTTTTCAGGGCTGCAGTACCAAACAATGTTAACTAAATTTCCTTTGCACCTAAGAAATCAGTTCTTAAATCTCACAGACCTCATCAAATTTTCATGTCATGATGGAAAGCGAAAAATCCAGTGATCATTGGCCAACTTCTTTTGAAAAGGCAGCAATATAAATACGATTTGGAGAAACGCAGCTACGAGATAGAGCCATTATTGTGCTTTTCCTTGAAATTATAAATCAGGCCTTCACATAATTGCATGTTTTTAAGGCAAATTTGGAACACAAAGCAGAGAAAACATATGTCCCTTCTGGGTACTCCTGTGCTTGGCAGGGCTTGAAAATTTGTAACTGCCATCGACAGCTAGTCACATTGTATCCGTAAAAAGCTTGAATGACTTGTTTTCCTACAAATAAAGACACAGAGAAAAGCCTGACTATTTTATTTCCAAACTATCATCGCTATAGGGACAACCATAAATAATTCAGTCCACAATTGTGGAGTCAAGTTTTAAAGATATTATCGATTGCCCAGTAATGCATTTTGCTGTATTCAAATGCAATCCTGTAAAAAACTACCTGGATAACTGGCTAATATCCTATACTGGCGAGGATTCACAGGGCTATGATTCTGTTTGTCCTGACACTGCAGCCTCCCCAAAGCAGGGGGGGTGTGTTTTATGATTAGAGTGGTTTTCCCATAGGGGTTCGTTTGCCTGCTGGTTGCTCATTTGCATTGCAAATGAGCTCTCCTATTGTTACATCCCAGCAGCTCTTCGCTGCTCACTGTTGAGTCTCCTCAGTCAGGATGGTTTAGGGGTAATTTCACATCTACGACAAGGGAATTGACTAATTAATCGGATAAAGTGTCCTTTTGAAAATCTGTTCCTTGTGTGGCTGTCTCTATAGCTTCAGAAAGTAGAGAGCTATGATCCTGTGGCCTTAAGAGTCTAAAAAGGATAGTAATTTCAGAAGGTGTGAGGAGTTCTCCAGGTTGACAGCTAGAGGCTCCCATGGCGGATGGTCCTGATGAAGAGGAAAAGGGGCAGTTACAGGAACCCAGGTTGTGAAAGCAATCTTTTTCTCGTGGGAAACAAGATAATCACATAACCACTGGAAGAAGAGGGGGAAGAAAAAAAGGCCTGGGTGATTCTGCTAGGAACTCTCAAATGCACAATCAACTGAGGCTTAAGAAAAGATTGTCTTTTTAGCCATCTTAGGAACAGGAAGATCAGAAAGTTGCTTCAATTTTAAGAAAGTTAAGGCAACCTTAGGCAGGATGCCACTAACATCTAACCTTTATTGGAATTCATTATGAGCCAGCTGCTGGGTGCTTCATGTGCACATTTCCCTTAATTTTCGTAACAGCTCTGAGGGAGATACTATCAGGGTCCATATTTTACAGATCAGGAAACTGAGGCACAGAGAGGCCAATTAACTTGCCCGGCTTCCCACATCTAGTGGGTGCTGGAACCAGGATCCCAGCACAGGTGATCTGTGCTGCTCGCCAGCTCTCCTCTGCTGCCCTGCCTCTGCCCCAGGTCCCCAGCCAGCTCTGGGGCCAGCTCCCAAGTGAACACAGGCAGATGGGTGGGGTGGAGGGGTGTGGACTTCCAGACCGCTAATGTCCACTGTCACTCATGTCTCCTCTCCAGAGAATCTAAAAATCAGTGGATTGTTTCAACCCAAGTGGCCGGTCCCCTAAAAGTGAACCTCAAAGGCCCCTTTACTTGGAGGTGTTTTTGCTTTGTTATTTTGGTCATGGTTACATGGTTGTATGTTATTTGGTTAAAAGTGTGGTGACATTTGAAGAGTCACATCTTCTCCCTTATTTCAGTGAGTACTAAAGCCTTCCCGCTGTGGGGATATTCCACAGCTTATTGAAGCTTTTGAAAGGATCCAAATTTGTTGCAAAGAGCAGCCCGAGCACTTCCCAGCTTGCTTCCCTAAATTAATCTAAAATGAGTATTTTGCTGCTTTCCCAGCTGCTTGGGTAGATTCCATGGCCTCCTCATGGTTAAAAAAAAGAACAGAGAAGGGAAGTGCTTCTTCCAGCCTCAGCAAAGAAACGCAGCAGAGCTGCCCTGGCAGGCGCATGCTCATCAGCTGGAGTGCTCGAGTACCAGGTTGAGCAGGATTCTGAGGCTTTTGGCAGGGAAAAGCCAGGGTGGAGCCGCTCTGTTTGCCACGAGCACTATAGGGAGAAGTGAGAACACAATGTGTCTCTACCAAGAACAAGGCAATGGAGAAAGAGACAGAGCAGGACTGAGCTGGGAGCAGGACTGAGCTTAGGCCCCTCACAGTCACCCCTCTTCCTTGCAGCCAGAAAGCTGAGGACCGGAGAAGTAAGTAACTTGCCTGAGGTCAGCTTACTGATTAGTGTCGAGAGTGGAAACCTAGATTCTTTCTGCATTAGAATTGGGACTAAGTCTTCCCATTCCTGGAACAAGTTGTTTGAAACTTTCCCCTTGAACCAAGTTCACAGTTGGGAGGACGGGGATGTTCCCAGCTGCCATCAGGGCCCCCCTGTAACTCCCCTCATACCCTCTCTCCTAACTGCCTTCCACCCCAGCTCTGCCTTGCTGGGAGATGCCAGGTCCTTGTTTCCTGTCCAGTGTCCCCTTTCTAGTCTGTCTCCTAAGGGCACATCTTTGTTAAACACCTGTATCTTTTCTACCTGTTAGCCTGCAAAGGAAAGAAAAAAGAAGGCTCTCACAATATCCTCTGGAGTTCTAGGCACCAGATGTTGAAAACCAAGATCAGAGAGGGGAAGGCCAATATTCTGGGAACAGGATCGACAAAGCAAATCCAACTTTATTGCTCATTGTTGTGATAAATTGTAAAAAAAAAATGCCCTGCATGCTTTGCCAGGTAACTCACAATGTCTTCCTACCTTGTCTATGGGCTTAGCTGGGTGACTTGCTTTGGTCAATGAAAAATTAGAAAATGTGAGCAAACAGAGGCTTAAAAACATGTTTACATGATTGAGCATGTCCTCTCGCTCATGCCATCAACACGAGACTGTGCCTCAGCTAGTCTGCTAGAAGACACATTGCCCAGCCACTTAGACCTTAGATCAGCTGACAGCCTCCGGGTTTCCAGACGTGTGAGCCAGCCAGCTGTGGGGACAGGGCTGTCTAGCTGACTCTGCAAGCAAGTGAGGAACCAGTGGTTAGTGCTGGATGCCACTGAGGTTTTGTGGTTTTTTGTTAAGCAGCATCATCACCGTGGCAATAGATAACTAATATACTGTCTGCTCACTTATATATTGGTTGGCATGTATGCCTGAAATATCACCCCTTCCAATGTTATGTACTGTAAATCATGACTTTCTTTTATATTGCAATCCTCAGTGAGAATCTGTTAAACATATATACACATGCATGCTATAAATTACATATATATTATATATAATATATATATTTCACAAAATGTTATGTGTGAGTGTGTGTGTGTGTATATATATACAATTTATAGCATGTGTGTACATATATGCTTAACAGGTTCTCACTGAGGATTGTGATAGAAGATACATAGAAACCTTTTACAAGTCACTATTCGCAGTTCTACCAAATTAGAGAATCTTTTCATGCTGGTGCCCTGGCTGCCCACTCTCAGTGACAGAGCAGCCTACAGAATCGAGGGCTGTACAGATGGACCATGTGACCTTGGGAAGATGAAGGGCAGGTCCCGACCAAGTCACACTCATTGTTTCCCTTGTGCGGAGCATGTGTCCGGCACACAGTAGATGCTCAAAAAGTAGGTGTTCAGTTGCACTTAATTGCCTTTATCCCTCTGGGTCTCAGTTTCTTTATCTCTAAGGGAAGAAATCTTAACCAGGTTCTTTCCAGCTTTAAAAACCTGATTCAAGTGGCACTGAGTGAATCTGAGTGTGTGCACTGGCGGAATGGCACCTACACGCTGTGCTTTAACCGTGTGTTTATCTGCCCTGGCAGATGCTCCACTCACTGACTAATGCCAGAGTCCAGCTCAAGCCTCCTCCCTGCATGGAGGTCCTCAGACTTGCTAAAGCACAAAACTTCTGCAAAGGTCAATTTAAGCTATTATCAGTCTACTAAGAACCTTCTAGATCTTTTCCTAAGGGCAGGTCTTGAGGGAAGAACAAGCATTATATGAAGGAGCTGACCTAGGGTGGTGCGGAAACTAAGTTGGCATCCTCAGAGATGAAACTTTCAAAGAGGCAACAGTCTGGAGACAAAGTGATGATAAACTTGAACTATGAACAATGGGCTGGGCCTGCCACCCACTGCTTCCCTGGGCTCTTGCCCACCTTCCTTGCTGTCACCAGGGAAGTCAGTGGTAGAACCAAAAAGGTCTTCATCTCCTATATCCAAAGCCAGGACTCTATGAGCAACTCTGGCTGTTATAGTTTTAATGCACGTTAGAAATAGCTACTGTGTGCCTGTTTTCCCACATATATTCATTTAAATATATGTCATGGAAGCCATGCCTTTTACTTTGAAGTGGCATCATCCCACACCCTCCTGCACAGCCTTGATTCTGCACCTGCCCACACACACTCTGCGCCAGGAGCTTCAGATCCATCACTACTCCAAGTTGGCGACGAAGAGCCTCAGGCCTCAGAGGTCCCCCGCCAAACACAGCCCGGCACAAGCACTGTGTCCTGGGTCACTGCAGTTTCCAAACTGGGTAAGCCAATCAGCAAAGAACTAAAATCCAGGCTGGTTGCAGTCAGTGAAAAAGTCACCCTCAACCATGAAATACCCCACATCCTCTGACGGTGACTGAAACTTTCTGGCGGAATCCTCGCGGACTGAAAAGGGGTTTGATAGGCAAAGCAGAGGTCAGAGTAGAACCTCCCGGGTTGAACTCTCTATGCACTGACTTGGGGGGGGGCCCAGAAATAGATTGTTCGTGAAGGTCCGCAGTGGCCGAAAGTCTCATCACACGGGGGCAGCTCGTTCCAGACTTTTCTGACCCATTTGACGTCAGGACTTGGTGCACACTTAGGAAGCTAAAGTTTCCCAATGCACTGCTCATGCTGCTTCTGGAAGACGCCCTCTGATATTAACTATTGTCTGTCTCAGTTTTAGATGCCAATCATATTCCAGCGAGTCAGTCTTCTGCCCCATTAACTGATCTCATCCTCAAAGCACTATGAAGATCCCTTTTGTTGTATTATGTGCATGGGTCACAATGGCAAAAAGAACAAACCCAAGTCTTAACTCCGCATCATCCACTTCCAACCTTACTGTCCAGCATTCATCCCATTTCTGCTTCTTGGCCAGCGTACTTCAATTGTTTGTACGTCTTATGTGCTGTTTCTTCCATGGGGGTGGCTCCACTTTGTATAACCTTGGAAAAACTCTTAGCCATCCTTGAAGGCCCAGCTCACATGCCACTTCCTCCCGGAAGCCCTCCTTGTCTCCCAAGCCAGCAGTACTCTCCCCCGCAGCCTGTCTCCCCGTCAGGAGCGCCTATCTTTTGGATACACATCTTTCTCTCTTACGGAGCTCCTGCTTCCTGAAAATTAGTCATGAGTCCATCGCCTGCACTGATTTTTGTCATTTCAGCGTTATTTACTTAATATTTTTCTTCAAATAGATTGCTTATTGTATATGTTACCTTCTTTAGCCTCATTCTAAACAATAATCATCATGAAACCATGGGTTTGATGTGCTTGTTAGACTTCCAGTGAACATTAGCATAAGTATACTCCTATTAAAAATTTAAAAATCTCACTTTGGTACTCTCTAAACTATTTCCTTTAAGGAAAAACTGTATTGGTTGTGTAAAATCTTGAGGGGCTATGTTTTGTTTAAATTTGAGTTTTCTCTGGGGCTCGGTGTATGATACTGCTCTATAAAAAGTTTGCTGAATTAAAATCAAACAAAACGGATTAATTGGAATTCATTCATACCCTTAACATATTAGCATGAATCCAATTTATCTGGAGAGGCAATCGTGACCTTGGAAAGCAAAGAATGAGACTGGAAAGGAGCTGGACCTGAAAAAGGAAAATGTTGGTAGACATGGAAAGGAGAGGGGGGAAGGACACGTGGAGACACTGGCCACGGTGGGTCACAGGGACGCTCCGCCAGGTGTGTGCGCGCGGCGAGGGCCGGTTGAGAGGCAGCAAACAGCCGAGGGGTCTTCCGTGGGAGGGGGCGGGGGCCGCAGCGCACCTGATAGGGACCCTGGCTTTAAACACGATCATTGCGCCAGGGACCCTCGGGGATTCCAGCCCCGTTCCAGGCCCTGTCTGAGAACATGCGTGGCTCAGGAAGGTGGCCTGCTCGTCCCCGCGCCGCACCTTGCCTTTCCCGCCCTCGGGCTCCGCGCCGGGTCCGCGCGGTGGGGCGGCATCCTGCCCGGGGCCGGGTCCTCGGCTCCGA